CCGAGTTATATGAATCAAATGTGTGTATTTTTAACTCATGAATTCAAAGTAGATGATTCACGTTTTACCCTTGAAGATTTTATACCATAAAAGTATAACAAACTTTCACGAATGCTCAGGATACATAGCCTCTTTTTTTATCTGAATATAACACAAGAGAGAAAACATCACTTCTAACTCCAGAGCAAAGTAAAACAAAATAAAAAATGGTCATGGGGAACACAGCTCACTCTTCTTCAAGCTCTTCCTCACCCAAAACATGATCATCCAAAATCCTTAAGTATTATTGTAGCCATAGAGGAGAAGAAGACAATGAACAATCCGAAACAAAGGTCTCCTCAGGAGATTGTGACTGAAAGGACGATGATCACTGAGAGGCCTAGTTTCGGATTAGGTATTGTCCGAAGAGAAAGAGAAATAATGAAAAAATATCCACCAAATGATAATTTGCTCCACCTTTGCAAATACTGCATGTTAAGGTTCCCAACCTTTAATGCCCTTAAAGTTCACCAAAACACTCACAAGCTGGACCTACTGTTGGAGAGGCAGCTGAAGAAGGAGTCAAGCCCTTGTCCTCAATGGCCGAAGCCTTATAACAATTACCAATACAAATTTAAGTCTCGCTTTGGTGGACCTTCACAAGATGCTCTATCAAAAGGTAAGTATCTTGGGACCTCTCCTGATCCTTCCAATCTCAATGGTCCCGGCGGCAACAGCAGTAGCAACACTTATCCATCGTTCAATGGTGGAGTCTCTAGAGGAATCACGGACATGAACATGACCGTGGAACATCAAATGACTCCAGACCGTTCGCTGACCAGGAACACTAGCTATGGTTCTTCTACAAAAGGTCCCTTACCTTCTTACAACTATAACATGAATAATAATCATGTAGGTCTCTCTTCTGGTCCATTCCAGTCTATAAGAAGCGGTAGCACCAACAGTGTTTACCCATGGTTCAATGGGGGAGTCAGGAAGACTGTGGTTGCTGGTGGGATTCAACACGACCCTCACTTGATGCAAAATATTTGCAATAATTCTGCTTCAAGAGCTACCTTGCCCTCTTACAACTATAGCTCACATGCTTTATCAAACGATGGTCATGATGTTGAGCTCTCTCTTGGTCGCTTTGAGTCCATAGGAGGTGGTGGCAACAACAACTATATCCCGCATATTGTATCAAATGGTGATTCTATTGAGCTCAGATCTCTTGGTGGCTTTGAGTCCACAGGAGGAGGAGGTAACAACAACTATATCCCGAATATTGTATCAAATGATGATCATGTTGAGCTCTCTTTTGGTCGCTTTGAGTCCATAGGAGGAGGCGGTAACAACAACTATATCCCGCATATAGCATCAAATGATGATCATGTTGAGCTCTCTCTTGGTCCATCTAAGTCCATAGGAGAAAACAAGGGCGTTTACCCATCGTTGAGTAGCGGAGTCACTAGAGAAACCACATGCATGACCTTGCCTTTGCGTCCTCGTGTGTCTCGATACCATTATGTCAACGGGAACCCGCTTGATTCAATCATGAGAAACGTTCCTCCTTCTCCTCCTCCAACCACCAATCTTTCTAATGATTTGTCTTCTTTAAAAGAATATGTTTCAGGGTCTAGTTACTCGGAGAATCTCATCTCAAAGGGCAAAAAC